GTGTCAGGGATCAAAACCTGGTCCTTGTACTTGCCTAAGCAGGTGCTTATTCCACTAAGCTATCTTGCCAGCACCCTCTGTATTAAATTTATCCCCTTGTAAACCCTGGCTACAAGAGATGCTTCTGTTATTTTAACTAACAGAACCTGCACTGTGCAAATTTGGCAATGAGAACTTCACAAGGCACTTGCCTGTGTGTAGACACAGAGTTTCTGTTGGCTATAACAAAGACTTTATATGTGTGTATACAATCTTTCTAGCAAGTTTTTAAACTTGAGATGTATGTTTGCGAGTGACAGGGTGCTGGGTCAGGAGAAGAGTTGATAGCTCCTGAGTGAGCGGAGTGGCACAGAAAAAAGCCCTTCCCCACAGGACTGGCATGGGCTCCTGGGACAGTGACCAGGGATGCAACGTGTATAGCATTCACGCTTTCTTAGTCTGAACATTTCTGTCATTTTACAAGTTGGGTCCCCAAAGAATAAAAGGTCACCTGCAGTTTCCAAGGTGGACTTTCTAAAACGGTGCTACAACTGAGCGAGGTGAACAAAGCTCACCATGAGGAGGCCCAGGTGGTACAGTGTTGTAAAATCCTTCAACAGGAAAGGCAAAGGATGGCAACCTGCTAAGAGCCTGCTTGCCCTTGAGGGCTTCTGTCTAATTGTTTTAACAGGCACAGATTTATGGGCGACAGGGTGTGAACTCTAGAGGTTGTAACCAGGGTCCTTGTTTTGGCTTTTGGTGTGTGTTGGCACAGTGGCGGGGTTAGAAAGCAGAGTTTCACTTTCTGGAGACCCTAATACTGCAATCACAGTCTCAGTGGTATTTAGAGAAATTCTGACCTTGCCAGAAATTCTGATCTTTGCTCCTACACGCACCATTTATCATTTCAATTACTTTATTACCTTGCTTGACAAGCGCTGTGACATTCTGCAACTACAAGTGCTTTTCCAGTTCATATGTTCTTATTTCAGAATGAAATGCTTCCTCTGGAAGGCACGAGGCAGTTTTTAATAATTTACTTGTTCTAATAAACTTCAAGTGTACCTTGGATAATAAAATATCTAGAACCCAGGAACTAGATTTTTGGCTCCTTTCTTAACAGAAGACAAAGTAAAATTGTGTAATTTTTGTTCTCTATATGAAGGCTGTCCATTTTTAAAAAATTAACACAATGTATCAGCCACTCATTGAGCAGCCATGTTGACTGTATCCCAACAAGCACAGTGCCAAGCATCAGGATACTTCTCTTCACTATGCTACGATTAGATAGCAGCGTTCCTTTTGGGCTGCAACTATAGGATTTGATTCTTTCAAACAGCTTTTGTTTTTTTATTGGGACGTGTTTGCAGTACAAGGTGCTTCATTGTGAAGAATTAGTACGCTCATATAGCGCGTCTTGCTTGTTTTTATTTTTTAGTTTAGGGTCTTCTAAAGAATAAGCCATATAGAATGTTTATGGTCTTCAAAGTGCAATGGCTTAAAGAAGTTGGATCTACAGATAGTTTTTTTCTTTTAGATGGTGTGTGTGTTTGTGTGTGTGTGTGTATGTGTGTGTGCGCGCGCTCAAGGCCTTCACACTGAGATTTATCCTCAACCTCTTTTTATTATTTATTATTTCAACCCAAAGTCTCACTAAGGTGCCCAGCCTATGCTCCAACTTGTAATCCTCCTGCCCCAGCCCCCTACAATGCTAGTGTTACAGATATATGCTGCCACACCAATTTCTATTGATAGCTTAAATCTGTCCATATCTATTGAAAGCAGGGATCAGAATAAAAGCCGGTCATAACATTTTTGGCCTAATGGTGAAAATAAAGAAGTAATAAGTCAATTTGCATTGGATAATTAAAACTATATACAGTATATGTATATATATAATATAATTATTTTAATTCTAAAAGCATGCAACCATTAAAGTAGAGGAAACATATTACTGATATGGTAATCTGTGTTATTACAGAAAACATAAGGACTGAATAATAACAGCTGTCTTTATAAAATTTAAAATACGGTATGCATGACTGATAACAAGTGCTTTTGTTCACAGTCTGGACAGTTGGGTTTCTATCATCTTCAGCAATCGCATCTCACATGTCTTTTCTGTAAAAGTGTTAGGTCTTAAATTCATCATGGTGAAGCAATATGACTTCACTTCCTAACTCTTCCTAAACTGTTGGCTGCTCTTCAAGCCCAGGTCTCCCGGACGGATGCTGCTGAGCATCTCAGAGCCGGTGCGTGGGTCTGCAGCAAGAGATGCTCTCCAATGGCCAGGCAGAAGCAGTCTCACCAGCCTGAACAGAGTGCTGTTCTTTCTTCCTTTTTAAATCTAACAGTAAGGCACACATACTCAACAGGGGAAGCACACAAAGCTACGAGGGTTAGTCAGGTCACTATCAACTATGCTGACTTTTGCAGTTTAAAAAATATTCATTCCCCCACATTTCCGAGACACAAGTGGAATTGACTCAAAGGGATCTCTGCTCTTCTAATGATGTACCTGCTGCCTCTGAAGCTTAAGCTGGTGTAGTGCTCACATTGGGTGCAGAAGCAAACAGCAGAGATAGCACCCAGAGCAGGAGCCATTGCTCCAGGAAGCCGCTGACCATCAGCCCCCTGGGACACAGACACAGATACAGGAGCAGGACACTTTAAAGGTGCCCTCTAACACTACAGTTCTACTCTTCCATCTCCTCCCTGTCTTCTTACACAACAACCTCATTGCCTTCTACAGTCCATATTGGACACACAAAGCCAACAAGCAGCCAATCAAATCAACCTTCCTACTCAAAGTGAGGCAGGTTCTGGAGAAATCCTGCAGAGCCACAGATTCCCACGAAGTGGCCCTTGTTAATGGGATTACCACTCCGCCTGCAGAGCAGGGAGTACACGGATTTACTTTCTGCATCTGCACATCTACTTCCTGCTACACACAGAGCAGCTCATCTACCAATCAGTTCTCACCACCAAAGAGAGGACACCTTGAACACTTCAGCAGAAATCCACACGGCAAGCCAGGGTGTAGTTTAGCAGCAGAGCATGTCTGGGGCCCAAGCGTCCATCCCCAGCACCACCAAACAACAATAAAATCTATATGGCGACTCAGAGTTATGCTTATTCAACTCACTGTTTTAAAATGTCAACTGCTTTTCTTGCTTTTCCTGAGTTCAAAAATCATTGAAGGTTCTGCAGTAACCACTTCCCCTCAGAGGTCAGGACTTTCACCTCTGTACAGGGAAATACCTCTCATAAATCAGGTAAAAGCAAAGGCATAGAGACTGAGTGACGGCCCAGGATCCATTTGGCAGCTCCCAACTCTGCTGAAAGTCCAAGTAGAAGCTTACTTCAATTGTCTGGAAGTCTAAAAGCAGTGACCAAAGTAGCCTGCAGGGATTCTAGTTTTTTGTGCTGGCTTCCATTTGTTTCACTGCACGGTAGCATGAAAAAGTAAGGAATAAGCTCCTCACTCTGAAATGCTGCCTGTTTAGACTCACTGTGCTCCCACCAACTGCAGCGTGGTCCCCACAGATGATCTTAAGAGTAAAAAGGAGTGAAAAAGGAAGTGCGAAGATCAAAGCAGTGCTGAAAGGGGCAGGACTGTTTATGCTGTGCAGACCCCAGCAGTTACTGACTAGGCTCAAAAACCAGGAACACTCACTCAGCTCAAGGGACTACCAATTGCAGAACACAAGGGAAATTTGCCATATCAAAGTTGAGATAATACAGTGTCAGATCGCCACCAGCCATACAGCACCAATAGCACAGGGTTATGCTACTTTCTTAAAGCAGTCTTTCAAACAGTGCAGAAGTGGTTGACTTTTAACAGCAAGTAGCCTTAGTTCCAGCTCTAAATCTACATGCAGTGCGCCTTAAGTTCCGTCTGGTTTGTTGTGCAGGCTGCAACCCAGGAAGATCTCTTATCTAAACAGGTGAGGGAGTTACAAGTCTGTCGACAGGGACAGACACCTTCAGGTTTCATGTTTCCATTCAGTACATATGATAAATATAAAATGTTATTGGAAACACAACTCTTTTTATTGCCTTCCCAAATTCATAAACTCAAAGCAAAACAAAACAAACCCTTTGCTTTGAATTATTTACATAACATTTCATTGGATCAAACAGCAAAAAGATTCATGTCTAGAAAGCACAATGTAAAAATCAGGAAAACTATACTTCAGGCAAAGGCTTAATTTTAATCCAGTTTCCTTTTTAAAGCTTTAACAAACACTAATGCAGTTTAAACTATTCAAGACTTCAGTTGAGTTCTTCGACAAACCTAGTGAAACCTTAAGTTAGAAGTTTTACTGTGAGAGCAAAGACCGTCAGCTTGCAGGGGTTTTGGCGCCCGAACAGTTAATGTCTGGGGGAATACTACAGCTATTTCTCACTTAAGAGCTCTATAACAAACTCGTTGGGTTAAACACGGTTATTCCATAAGCTCAACATAAAGCGCCACTTAACATAAAAGTGTCTTAAATCTCGATGACCAGATCCTGGAGCCCCAGTCCTGTTTCACTTTTGGAACAGATCAGTAACCCAGGGCCAGCATCTCCATAAGGTGTTCATTTCTGAAGACCTCAAGACAGCTTGCACTGGGGCCGACAGGCGGGTTTGGGTCGTTTAGAGTTGCTTAGAGGTCATGCTCGGCGCCTGCTGCCATTGTCCGGGAGTTTTACATAATCAAGTGTCTACAAAGTGCCGGGGTGGAGGATCTCCTGTCTCCAGTGCCAGGCCCTGGCGATCGACCAGGCCCTGCTTAATATTTGAGCATTCTGGCGCAGAAGTGGGAGAGAGGGGGGTGGGGTCCCGCTCAGGCCCAGGCCGGGCGAACCGGGGACTCAGGCGCCCCAGGTCCTAGCCCCGGCTGAGCCCGCCGTGCTTGGCGCCCACCTCGCCGCCCGCGGCCTGGCCGAGCAGCCCGGTCCCGCCCCGGTCCCGCCGGCCCGGCCCGGCCCGGAACGAGGAAGTGGCTGCGCCCGCTCGGCCCGCACCCTGCTCACCCTGCGGCCCACGGTCCCGGGGTCGCGGCGGGGCTTGGCGGATCGGATCCGGTCGGGTCTGCGCGGGTCTGATCGGGTCGGGCCGCAGCGGGTTGGAGCGGATCGGGTCAGATCGCGTTGGGTCGAGTAAGGTCAGTGTCCCTCCATGCGGGCGCAGGACTGGCGGGACGCAGTGGCGAGCAGGGAGGCGCGGACCGCGGGGAAGGCAGCGCCGTCCGCCGCCGCCGAGTGGCGAAACCTCCTCTTCCTGCGGGCGGCGGCGCTGCCTCGGCCTCGCTCGCGCTCTCACTTCCTGCTGGAAATTCCCGCTGACGTCGTCGGGGCCGGGCCGGGGGCGGGGGAAGCCCGGGGAGGGGGACCCGAGATCAGGGGGCCGAGGTGGGATGGGGGCGGGGCGGGAACCCCCGGGATGACTGGGGGCGGGGCGGGGGCCCCACCCCTTTAGGCGGCCTAGTGACTGAACGAGGTCAGGGGTCGAGAAGGGGCGCGGGGCTCCAAATGGCTCCTGTACGGTCCGCACCACCCTGTGTACCCCAGCCCACAACTCCAGTTCCTCCGAATCTGAGCGGATTCACCCGGAATTTTGAGGTGACAGCGCAGCCATCTAGGAAGGGTGACAGATCAGCGTCCAGGTGTCTCCTGAGATCCTCAGCCCTCCGCGCCACCTCATATACCTGCACATCTGGCAAGGGCTACCCAAGTGCACCTCGGATTCCGGGAGGAGCTCTCTGGAGGGTCCTGGCCTGTCCTGGGACAGCACCGGGGGCAGGGCTCCAGCGGGACCCCGGCCCTTTGCCCTCCCTTGGTCCTGGTACAAGACCCCGGCCACTTTAAGCCCAAGTCGGGGCTGCCACTGGCGGAAATCGAGCTTGCCAAGCTCGCTATTTTGCTGCTGGGCCCAAGTGTAATCTAACTAGAAACTGTCAGGAATGGTTAGAAGCCCCAGCGGTGCTGGAGGGGGTGGGGGACTTGGAGCTGGTGGTCTGCCTGGCTCCGGCCTGAGGCTGTGGGACCTGGAGGAGGAGCTGGGGAAGGAACTGGATCCTTTTCACTGGCTGTGAGGTGACTGCTGGACCTTGGGGTGGCCCAGCAATCTGCTGCCTTTTAGCTCCCTTGAAACAGCTGGGATTGAGAGGATCGGTTTGGATCAAAAACAGTGACATTTTAGGAGTTGAGTTATTTTGGGGAAATGATTGGAAATCTGCCACTATCATGGCTTAGGAGGCTTAGGAGGCTGATGTCTAATTTATATAAAATGATGGGCTCTCCATCCTGCCCTTTGACGATGTAGATGCAGGGCACAGCTCAGGAGCAGAGCCGGTATCACTCATTGTGGAAACACAGACTGAACAGATAGCTGGTGCGGAGGAGCCCATTAACTTCCACACTCCAGAGGTCTCCATAGAGTGGGCTTGCAGCTGAGGGTGGGATATTAATTTCCTCTGACAGAGGTAACAGACTGTACCTGGTGGATGGCTGCTTGCTGTTTGGCCTCATTCTGTCACAGTTCTTGGGCCACAAATTTGAAATCAGGGTACCATGGTGGCCGTGCTTCCTCATGGCTCCTAGAAACATCTGGTGCCCCTTCCCGGCCTATGGTGGCTCTGGAGCTGCGTCTCCTCACCTGTGCTTCCATTGTCACAGGCCTTCTCCCCCCGCCCCTTTTCTTTTTTTTTAGTATCCAGACCTTCCTTTCTTTTCTGATTAAGAAACTCATCACTGGATGCACAGCCCACTTTAATGTGACTGTTTCTTACCTTGATTATGCCAGCAAAAGACCCTGTTTCCAAATAAGACTGTGTTTGTAGTTACCTGCGGTGAGGGGTTGGATACATTTGGGGGATGCAGTTTATAGCTCTGCAGCTGACAAGACCAAGCCCACTTTGCTCTTTTTGGCTCCCCAGTTAATTTTCTCAAGCCCTTGCTTTACTGCCCAATGTTTTCTCTGAACTATATGCGAAACTACTTCCAGAGCATTCTCACAAATCCACCTTCTAAGATATCAAAGGGCATCGCATTGTTTTGTTATGGAAGTAAAAGAAAAGCTTATAGTGGAACTTCAGGCACTGAGGGTGCAAAAAGCCAGGCTGTGTTCCTTACAAAATCCTGAAAACGCACGGATTGCCCTTCTCAAGAAGCTGAGCTGGGAATGGTCTGTAGAGGATCCTGCACTCAGGTCTGCAGGGTGAGCACTGACTGTGAGGAACTATGCAGTGTGTGTTCTAAACGGCACTGAGAAGAGAGCAGGAGCGCATTGTGTCTCTATAAAGGGTCCAACCACTCCTGAACTAGAAAACCAACCCCACTGTCCTTAGAATATATCCTCTGTGTGACAGGAGCCGGGCAAAATGGAAGGAGCTTGCTGCATTTGCAACCAGGCTTGAGCTGGAGCCCTGGGTCCATCTTGAATCATCTGTGTAACTTTTACTAAGTGATAGTTGGTCTGAACAGCAACCACGATAGCTTACAGATGAGGACAGCTCTACGTGATGCTTTACATTATGCATGTCACATGTGCGGTAATGTCCAAACCACGTTATGTGTATACACAATGACAGCATATGTTATGTCATAATTTCCCTGACTCACATTTTGACAGACTAAAGGGCTATTTTAAAATGCAAAAGGCCTATCCAAGTATACACAAGGACTTTTAAGCTAAAACCAATTACAGTTCGTTTCCTCGTCATCCGGGGAGGTAAGTGCTGGCTCCGTGGCCACCAGGGTGCCTGATTTTCCCAACACATCTTTGCCCCGACCCTTTGTACAGAGGATGTCTTCTACCTGGGCTATGGTCAGCATTCTGTCCTGCCTTGCAATTGCACAAGCAGCAGGTAGCATTGCAAGAGCACTCGCCACCCCCACCAGTGGCCCAAAGGCAGAAGATGTGGTCTTCACCCCTCACAGCATGGAGGTGAACCCTTATCAGAGGGCTGGGGTGCAGTGATTTGTATGACAGATTTTATCCCTAAGAGTAGCCCATATATGTATATGTATATATATACATATATGATATATACTAGATATACAGCTACTTTCTCTTAGTTCAAAGAGAAGAAAGGTTTGTACTAATATTGTTTAGACAGAGTATCATGTCTACATCTTGTCCTCTAAATAACTACCATGAAGACAACAATATGCAATGTATTAATTATTGTAACTGTCCTATTAACCTGTTTTAACACTGTTTCATTACTATTTTATCTTTTTTTCTCATTAAAATAATTAAGAAAAAGTGACCCTTGTAGAGAGGTAGAGAATGTTTCTCCCTAGCCCAGAGAATCCAGAGTGCTATTCCCTTGGCTATGAAGACCTCGACTGCCTATACATTCAGAGATGGGCCTGTGGCTCCCAGCAGCTCTCCCATCCCTGAGCACTTACTGCCTTCGCTGTCTTCATGTGTTTGTGAAACACGGGGAATGCAAGTGACTGCAGGGCAGTGTGCAGCCAACATGGACAAGGAGGGGAAGGTGGCCAGCACTGCCCATGCCTGGCTGTCCCTTCCACGTAATGGCCATTCTCTCCTGTCCTGAGATGTTATGTGGCTGCAGAGTCCACTTCTGTGCAAAGTCACCTCCATTGCACAGTGGTGCTCGGCTCATGGGGATTCCATACCAACTGCATCAAGGTGACAGCTTCTTGCGAAGCCCTAAGTCCTGCTGGCAGTGACCAGCAAGCAGCACTCGTTATTTCTGGGACAGAAGTCCAGTGAAGCGAACTGCACTTTGTGGTGCTGGATGGGGGTGACAGATGCCAACAGAGATGGAAAGGGTGTGCCACTCATCTCCCTGAACAGGTTTAGGGTGCTTAAAGCAAACTCCATAAACACAAATGTGTTCAAGAGGGTTCCAGTTGTTCTTTCCTTTACAGTTAGGGGGCTGGGGATGTGGCTTAGTGGTAATATGTGCCTACCATCCATAAAAACACATTAAAAGCATTGGACACACAATACACACACACACACACACACACACACACACACACACACAGGACCCACCACTGAAAACCAAGAAAGTACATTTTTTTTACTGAAGAGCCTGCCACTGGGTGAAGCCTGCCCAGCTTGAAGGTGGAGATGCTTAGGAGGAGCTTTGGATACAGAGGCACAATTTGAACCCAGGCTGACTTGTCCTCCCCATCCAGGGACCTGAGATGTGGGCTGTGGGGGAGTTGAGCTTGGCAGAGGAAGTCCTGGAATCCCCTGTGCCAGCTCTTTGAAGCAGTCAAACAGCAATGGATTGTGCATTGTTTTCTTCCCCGTTAGAAGCATGAAATACTATTTTTCACTCTCTTGACAATAAGTACCCTGGAATTCAACAATAGTTAATTATACAACAATGTCACTGGGCAGAACAAAGACTTCTCTAACAAAGTACATCCTCAGGAATCAGACTATGGAGGCCAGAAAGAGTCTCTGTTTACAGGTCCTCGCAATCTAAGGGGAAGATAGCTGGGCTTGAACTAATATAGCAGCCACAGGAGGTACCATGTCTGTCCTCTACGGGGAGTTTACTTTCTGCAGCCTGGCTTCTGGTGAATACACATGGGGTTGAGGGCAAATAGTACTCACAGGTATTATTTTCCCCCATTTATGTATTTGGTACAGGTTCTCTCTATGCAGCTCAGACTTGTAATGATCCTCCTGTTATCAACCTCACCAGTGCTGGGATTACAGACTCTGTCGCTGGTTTAGTGCACCCTGGGGGTAGGGCTGGTGCAGCATGTGGGACCAGGGATCAAACCCTCATCACTGAACTTGTCAAAGCAGGCAGCTTAGTCTGCTGAGCTATTTAGCCAGCCCTTCACAGCTATTATTGAAAAATGCAAAAACAGAAGCTGAACATCGATAATGCAAAATTACCTCAGAAAAGGAAGAGCGAGCCAGTTGTAATCCCTGCACTTAGGAGGCTGACGCAGGAGGATCAGTGTGAGTTGAAGGCCAATCTTGACTGGAATACATATTGAGACCCTGTTTCAAAAAATAAAATAAAAAAAAAGGAAAAAAGCACAAATATAGAAAAGTGACTTTTTAATGCCTTTGGTTGACAGTGACAGTGTGTTCATGCTCACCTTTCATGGCCCTCCTTGGAGGCAGAGAACAGCTAACACACAGTTTTGCTTGTACTTTAGGAAGAGGAAATAAGCCAGGTGGGCATCTGGTTAGTATTTGCTATATATGCTGTCGCAGCTTGTGTCTAGTGTCTCCCAATTCCTACTGTGCTCACAGGTGGGGCTTTTCAGAGGTGGCTGGATCTGGGGCATGTGATGCTGAGATTA